ATGATCAAAGGGACAGAATTATGAATAACTTTATATGCATTTTAGGAGAAAAGACGCCCAACCTCGTTGGAAGGGGATATCCTGGATGCAGAGAGGATCCGAATAAAATTTTTAACATTGCTAATCCATTTGGCCATAACCTTTAACTACTTCGCGTTCAACAATAACATATATGTAAATAGGAAGAAAAGCTGGGTTTCGATTAATCTCCTGAGATAACATTGTTGGGGGGGATTTCATTTCTTATGAAGGTGCATGAAGAGGAGATTCGTAGGTTGACCTCACGGTGATGGTTCTAAATTCACTCACACTCGTCCAACATATTAGATTAAGCTTATCAACCAAACCAGACGTGTCAGATTACACAGCCCCAGTCATGTCTTTCTTCGGCGGTTAAACGTTAATGACCTTAGACTGAGAGGCTAGGACAAGTCGTTTCGTAAATTGACTTACATGCTCATCATCTCAACCATACATGCTTACGGACTTACGCAGTCTTGGTCAGGGTTTTCTTTTGGGTCATTAGGCCTTGATGATCATAGCCTTTTATAGCTCTGATTTAGGACCTGTATTATGTATAGACGCTAACACACACACACACACATACACACGCACACACTCGAGCAAAAGTAGCAGGACCAGTATGAAATATAATTAGCTAAACCACTCTATATGTATCTAGGTTTTTAATTTTCTTTTGGCTTAATTGAGTCTATTTAAGAGGTAAGACAGAGCCGGATAGTCTGGAATGATGTGCGAAAGCGCAGCCCGTTTTCACCTGAAACGAATGAGATCTTGTCAACTGTGTCAACCTGAACGTCGTATAAAAGCCAAACAGTTGCATTACAACGGGATTCTGCCGTCCTCTTTTGGTTAGATCGACCTACGAATATCTTCTTCAATTATTTTCATACGAAATGAAAGTCCCCTCCCCAACAATAACATATATGTCCAAATATTTGGATTTTCTATTCGATTCTCATTTACCTTTTTGGGAAACGCATAGATGAACAAATTATAAGAGAAATGTGAAGCATCACTACCACAGACAGACGTGATTATCTGCTTCTTAATTTTATGAATCTGCTCGACAAGAGAGTAAATTTTTTATTGAATGTAGGAGAAAATGAACAGCTACCTATCCTGGACGTCGTAATCACTCATTCAAACAGTACACTAGCAAGATTGGCCAAGAAGAGGCAATTGTATTAAGGATCTATCTTTAGTCGTAGGAAAAGGATTCACAAGGAAGAGGCGAATGAATAGCAATCCGAACTCGAGAGATGCCGATTGTATTGAGTGCAGTTTACTCAAAAGACCACTCACGACTTTTGAGGATCTGGAGCTCAAGAGACTGGGAATATGGGTATACACGACTATCAAGCATTTGCCATCAAGGATAGCACCTTCGATTCGACTACTGATCCTATCGAGAGGCAGCATAAGCTCAGAGGCGTAGCCTCTCAAAAGACACGAGTAAGATTAGCATAAGAGTTGAATTAAATGGATGTGTTTATTGAGGTCACTCTTAGGGCACGACCAATTTAGGAAAATGACATCAACCGACTTCTATACAGCGAAGGAGAACTTTTTTGCGACAGAAATGTACGTTTTTATTTGATCATTTGCCGATGCACTTATTACGTAATCTTGTGTCTATTTGGTCTGAATCTCCGTGATCATATTTTGCCGATCACTGTGCTATACGTACAATGTGAGAACGCCTTCCATGTTCCTTTTACTTTTATTTCATTAACACTTGATGTTTGGAATGATCGTATGTTTATTTGATGCCCACAATGCCTTTCCTTTAAGGTTATAATTTATACTTTTCGATCTCTGACATGTGTCCCAAAAATGTGCTATAACGTATACATTTTGCTGGCAAGATATTTTAAAGAAATGCCTTTATCAAGTTCTGCACAATACTAGTTGTTAGGATCAGTAAAGTTTCTTCGAAATTCCTCGTATTGTGCACTCTTAATTATTTTTTCTTCTATATTTAATTTTTATTTGCCAGGATTCGTATATCATTCGAAATATTCTTGCTTCAAGAATTTAAATTCATTTTCTCCTTTATTACTACATTCTTTATTCTTCATTCAGTGCCTTACGTTGCCTGCCTGACATGGAGGTAGTTGGGCTAAACTTTTCAAGTGCTACTACACCTGAGCTGATGCTGAAAACATTCGACCAGTATTGCGAATACAAAAAAACTCCTAATGGACTTGTACTCGCTCCTGTACAGATGAACAAGTGGCTGATTTTCTTTTGTGATGAAATCAATTTGCCGGACGAAGATCGCTATGGCACTCAACGCGTTATCTCTTTCCTTCGTCAGATGGTGGAGCATGGAGGATTCTATCGAACAAGTGATATGCAATGGACCAGATTTGAAAGAATTCAGTTTGTCGGTGCCTGTAATCCACCCACTGACCCCGGTCGCAAACCTCTTTCTCATCGTTTTCTTCGCCACGTACCTCTGGTTTATGTTGACTATCCAGGTGAGACATCATTGAAGCAAATTTATGGAACCTTCAATCGGGCTATGCTGCGAATGCTTCCAGCTCTTCGGCCGCAGGCAGACGCTCTTACTAACGCTATGGTTGAGTTCTACCTGTTGTCGCAGCAGCGTTTTACTCACGATATGCAACCACATTACATTTACTCTCCTCGTGAGATGTCTCGTTGGGTTCGTGGCATTCATGAAGCCCTTCGACCGCTTGACACGCTGTCGATAGAAGGTCTTGTCCGTATATGGGCGCACGAAGCATTACGCCTCTTTCAGGACAGGTTTGTCATTTGAATGAATAAGTATTTATAATTTTGCACGCTAACTGATCGGTTTGGGAAAAAGAATTATTTTTTTAACAATTTCAGCAAAAATTGTATTTCATACTTATGAGTAATATGAATTATATAGGAAAATAAAGTCTTGACACCTTTTCCTTGAAAAGTTAAATGGATTCTTGTTAATTGGGATGCGTTGGGATTAGAGCGCTGTACCAATTGAGCTGCCGCGTAGTTTTATTCATAGTTAAAAAGTATAAAGAAAAATACAAACTACTGCTTACTAAGCAAAAATAGTGCATTTCAATGAATTACAGAGCATATTAAATAAGCATATTTATTGTATCAGATACGCATGTTCCTAATAATGAATAATTTATTGGAATTTGTCAAATGTGGCTTTTTCTTTTCTCTCTATGAGTTGCAAATCAGCAAAACCAACACAGTTCTTTATTGCAGATAGAATTTTGCCTTCATTGCCTTGTATGAAGTAGCTTCGTAATCTGGCAACAAATTTCCTTACATTTTTTGTTTATAACTTCCTCTTGAACTTTCCTTGTGTTCTGATATCATTTTTCTTTTAACAGTTACTACCTTACACTCTTAATTTCCACAGTAACCTTCAACATTATCGATTTTTATAAGCAC